ATTTACACAAGGACGATCGATATCCATATGTTATTGATTCCGTCCTATGTAAATCTATGATAAGTTCATAAATGTCGGTTATTTTTTTTTCGAAATGTACAGTACTTGCAACCTTAGGTGTTACTGTTTGACGGGAAAAAATTGAAAACAACACCTTTAATAATTTCATGCGTCCGAAGCGCTTTTCTGGATTTACCTTCATCAGGAACGCTCAAAGCCAAACATTTGAAATCCGAGGGATGTATAAGTACCGAAACAGTTGAAGAGCTATATGACAAAAATACCTAAAACAAATAGCCAAATCCATCTAAGGTCAACTTTGCCTGAGGGAACCTTACTGATCGGTGAATGATCGGTGACGGATGTTTGACTGATCGATGACTGATCGGTGATCGATGACCAATAGAATTCGTCAGATAAGTCAAATAAGCTATGTGAGAGTTACCATGACAACGGTCAGCGATCGATCAGTAAATTAATTATATGCACGGATCGGACGGATACGTATATAATTAAAAATTTTATGTAAAACGAACTCCACAGTATTTACATGCGACAAACGCGGACCTCTACGAAGACACCTTTACTCGTTAATTTGTAATCAACTTGGTCGCAATAACTCATACAATAAAAATACATAAGTTACTTTTCACGCATTATATTATTACTTCATATTCTCTTATTTTTCTGCCAAATAAATTACATAAGTGCAGAATAATGTCATGCTCAGAATGTTTCTGTATCACTAAAAAGAGATAAAATGTTATCATTTGAAATAAGTACCCTATTTAGCAATTATGCATTTTAATGTCACTAGATGATGGAAATAAAAATAATATAACAGTAAAGATACTTAAAGCTTTGTTTGGGTTGATTAGGAGTGCAATTATTTCTTTGTTTTAATTGAACTCATGAACCACCATTTGTTTTTAGTTGAATAAGAATGCAATCTTTTTTTTTATTTTAATAGAACTTATTGACCGCCATTGGATTTTTGTACTTTTTGTACATCATAGTTGGTTGTTTTTCACAAAATTAAATGAATATCAGGGGAAAGATACTAAAATATTGTTCACATTGTTTAAAATAACCAATATTTTTTCGTTACATAAAAAATAATGCAATGTTATTCGAAACTAGTTATCTTAAAGGCCTCAAGATAAGTATTTTTTGGATAGAATTTTAATATAATAAGGATAAAAATACTTAAACTTTTGTTTTTGTTGAATAAGAATGAAATAATTTCTTTATTTAAATAGATATTATGAACCACCATTTGATTTTAGTACTTTTTGTACATCAGGACTGTTTGTTTTTCATAAAATATGCTGAATTTCAGGGAAAAGATACTAAATTTATTTTTCGCGTTGCTTAAAAACGCAAATATTTCTTCTTTTATATCAGAAATAATGCAACGTCAATTGCAATCAGTCATTATAAATGCCTTAAGATAAGTAATTTTGTATGAGATGTGAATAGTTTAAAGATAAATATGCATAAACTTTTGTTTGACTTGAATAAGAATGCATTTATTTCTTTATTTTATGGAAATCATGAACCGCAATTGGAATTTAGTACTTTTTGTACATCAGGAAGGATTGCTTTCCCAAATAGTAATATATAGCAGAGAAGAGATAGTAAAATTGTGTTCGCATTGTTTAAATATTCCAATATTTTTTCTTTTTATAAAAAAGAATGCAATGCTATTCGTTATTAGTTATTTCAAAGGCCTCAAGAAAAGTATTTTTTTTATAGAATTTTAATACAATAAGGATAAAAATACTTAAACTTTTGTTCGCGTTGCTTAAATTGCAAATATTTCTTCTTTTATATCAGAAATAATGCAACGTCAATTGCAATCAGTCATTATAAATGCCTTTAGATAAGTAATTTTGTATAAGATGTGAATGATTTGAAGGATGAATATGCATAAACTTTTGTTTTTGTTGAATAAGAATGCAATCATTTCTTTATTTTAATGGAAATTATTGAATGCCATTGGATTTTTGTACTTTTTGTGAATCAGGGTTGGTTGTTTTTCATAAAATTAAATGAATATTAGAGGAAAGATACTAAAATGTTCTTCGCATTTTTAAAAATTACCAACTTTTCTTCTTTTGATCAAAAATAATGCAATGTTATTTGTAACTAGTTATTTCAAAGGCCTCAAGATAAGTATTTTTTATAAGAATTTTAATATAAAAAGGATAAAAATACTTTAACTTTTGTTTGTGCTGAATAAGAATGCAATATTGTTTTTTTATTTTGATAGAAATTATGAACCGCCATTTGATTTCAGTACTTTTTGTACGTCAGGATTGGTTATTTTTCATAAAATATGCTGAATTTCAAGAAAAGATACTAAAACGTTATTCGCATTGCTTAAAAATGCAATTTTTTCTTCTTTTATATTAGAAATAATTCAACATCGTTTGCAACCAGACATTATTAATGCTTTTAGATAAGTTTTTTTTTATAATTTATGCATAATATAAGGATAAAAATACTTAAACTTTAGTTTGTGTCGAATGAGAGTGCAATTATTTCTTGATTTCAATGGTTTCATGGTTTAAAAATACCAAACATTCTTCTTTTTATCAAAAATAATGCACTGCTGTTAGCAATCAGTTATTTCATTTTCCTTTGGATAAGTTACTTTTGATAAAATTTGAATAATATAGGGATTAAGATATTTAAACTCTTCTTTGTGTTTGATAAGAGTGCATTTTTTTTTTCATTTCATTAAGATAAAATTACACAAAAACCATCATTGGATATAATTATTTTTGTTGGGTTGTTCCCCAAAGTATATGATGAATTTTGAGGGAAAATATAATTTATAATTTGTTTGCATTGTTTTGGAGTCTCCAACTTGCATATTTCTTTATTTTATTGAAAATAATACACCGAAATTTGCAATAATTGATCGTTTCATTTCGTTTTTAGAGTATTTTCTGACAATAAAAAAATAACTGTCGCGATAAACACCGTTTTAGCCCTCTTCGAGTTTGAAAAAAATAACCCAAATAAAAACGAAAATCACAATACTTTTATAACAATATATAAATTTAGTTGTATCTGCATATTTCTCTTCTTTTTTAATTCTTAAAACTTTGCTGAATAATTAATAATAAAATGTTGAGCTTCTTTACTTGAACGTTTCGTATTTTTCCATGGCGCCATTTTAATTAAATGAAACGAAACTAAGATTCCGTAATTTGTATGAGTTCAACATGTGACGTAGTAGAGTTCAATCCGTCAGAAAGGTCAATCCGTCCGATCAGTCAAATATATGTACTATAAATCTGACGGATTGGTGACGTGAGTTTGACGCGAACTTGACTGATTGGTGACTAATCGATGACCGCTGATTGATCGCTAAAATAGTAACGCCTAAGGTTGCAAGTACTGTAGATTTCAAATAAAAAACTAAATAATAATCAGTGAAATTGTTGACGGTATGAAATGATAAATAAAAATTTACTTTTGAAAGCGAAAAATAGAAATATTTCGTTCCTTAAACGACACTTCATCTTTGATTAGCGTACATATACTTTATCTATAGTAGGTTAAGCCATGTGTTTGTTTCATTTTTCTTATAGTGCACATATCTACTTTATACAACAACGGAAACATATACAAATGTAGGCAACCATAGTTACCGATGTTCTAAAGTCATAAATCGATGATGAAGACAAATTGAGGGAATCGGATGAACTCCGAAAGGAGCGAGACAGGGTGTGTCGAATGGATAAGAGTCTGCTGTAAGACATACATCACCTGACATGTGAATCAATACTAAGTCAAAATGTCACAATAAGTAATGCAGACTAATAATGATGCTCGATCTAGTTTCTTGTTCGGTACATGTTATGTGATTGAATTGAATAGTTCTAATGAATGCAGACAACACATTAGTTTACAATTGAAAACTTTAAATCTGTATGTTACAATAATTCTTTTATTATATACCAATGCACCTTAACCTTATTTCAGTTGGATTGCTTGAAACGCACGAAATTTATAATGTTTTTTTTTCCATTTGATTTTTTCAAATTTCAAGAATCTTTTTTTTTATATAAAAATGGATTTTCGGATTAATACACAAAAGCAGTTTTGACAATTTTAAGATTCAATGCTTTCATGACTACAAACACAGTGTGCAAGATCTAAAAAATGATTGATGGAAAACAATAAAAGAAATACTGTGCAAGTAGATCCTTTTTAACTTCTAGAGAGAAAAGTTGGTAAATAAAAGCAACAGTAGTAAACCGAATTTTAAAAGGAGATTGCATAAAAACAGAGACTCTGTACACAGATTGAGTTTTGATCTACGCTTATGGTAAAAACAATTGCAGCTAACCACTGTAAATAACAATCAGAAATAACGAAGCCAGAATCTCACATAACAACTAAAGAACATCGTAGGAGTACGAAAATAAAATACGTTTACAGACTTTAAACATGATTTATGTGTACAGTCTAATTACTACATATTTGATGTCTAATAAACAACACTTTTTACACTCTATTTGCTACTTGTTATTTTCAAATGTTATAATAAGCCACTGTCTTAGGTTAGGGGAGTGTTGAGCACTCACAAACCTGTTTACACATGAAAAATTTTATATTTTGTTTGTCCCAAGTCAGAAGCCTGTAATGCAGTGGTTGTCGTTGGCTGCTGTCTTACATATTTGTTTTTTGTTTACTTTGTCATTTATCAGGCCGTTGTTTTTTTCTTTTGAATTGTTTTATATTTCATTATGTTGAAGACTTTTATAGCTGCATGACTATATGGATTTGGTTTTGCTGAAGGCCGTAAAGTGACCTATAGTTGCTTGAATTCGCTTGATTTGGACTCTGTTGGATAATCGTCTCATTGGTAGCCAAATCACAAATTCCTTTTTCGTAATCATAGAATATAATTCATATAAATATTTATAGAAACGTAAGGAAGCTCTTACTAATTTTGGGACAATTGAATAATCACTAACGATAAAAAAAATTAGATTACAGACTTTATTTGTAAAATCAATAATTACACTATTGATATGAAATTAACAGTATTTTAACACTTTAAAATACCTCTTGTTTCTTTTTTTAAAGATCTCATATAATGTAACTCATGAACAAATATACTCCTCATGCTATCCTTATTTTCATAATGAAAAGACTGGATTTTCTACTGCAGATATTGATATGACTTTGTCCAGACACCGTTACTGGTCACAAAGTTTAAAACTGCATCGATCAATGTGGATTCTACATAAAAGTAGCTGGTATAATGTACATAAAGTTACCATCTAAAATATCCTTATGGGAGTTAGTTCATTCATTGAACCAGTAAAGTCTGACCTTCTCGAGTATAAAGGCATTCTATTAAAGGGACCTCCATTAAATACCGAGTGTTTAAAAATCATTGGATATATGCTGAATGGGTTGTTTTGGTTGTTTATAACAGGAATAGGAACATTTTCTTGATTTGTAGACCATAAACTAGAGATTACTTCATGATTGACTGCAGTTGTTGGATTATTTTGCATAATAAGTGCTTCATTAACTTTACTTTGTTTAGAACTTGTTCGTTCGATCGTTCTTGGGTCAATTATTGTCGCTTTATATCGATGTTCTATCATAGGCGCTTGTTCTTCATTTAAGGATGACAAACCTTCAATTGTTTTAGGATCACCTACTGATGATGGCAATTGGTCAATAATTGGTCCAGGTTTATCAATATTTTTTGTAGATCCTTTTTGTTCGATGGTTCTTGGGTCTACGATGGACACTTTGTATCGATGCTCGATTATTGGCGCTGGTAAGTCATTTAAGTTAGGAAAACCTTCGATTGATTTAGGATCAACTACTGAAGATGGCAGTTGGTCAATTTTTGATCCAGGTTTATCAAGATTTCTTGTAGTTTCTTTATGTTTGATGGTTCTTGGGTCCACGATGGACACTTTGTATCGATGTTTAATTATTGGAGCTGGCAAATCATTTAAGTTAGGAAAACTTTCGATTGTTTTGGGATCAATTACGGCAGATTGCGAATGGTCGATGGTTGAAACAGGTTGATCAGGACTTTTTGTAGATGATGCTTGATCACCAGTTCTGGGATCTACTATTGACACTTTGTATTGATGATTTATTACAGGAGTTGGTTCTTCATTTAAGTTTGTCACACTTTCGATAGTTCTTGAATTAACTATTGGCGATGGTGGATTGTGGAGAACTTGTGTGGGTTGAATAAAATTATTCGTCGGTCTTTTGCGGTTTATGGTTCTTGGATCAATTATGGAAACTTTATATCTGTGTTTTATAACAGGTGCCTGTTCCTCGTTTACATTTGTCAATATATTTACTGGTTTTGCATTCTGTCTTAACTCTGACATCAGTTCCCTAAATAAATTGTTGAATATTGAATTCCAGTAGTATTCATTCAGCTGCGTTCTTTGATCAGTGTCCAATTGATCTAAGTGTGTCTTTGTATCAATGATAGGCTGTCTGTGGAACATATCAAATACTGGTGTTTTGTCCAACCGTGGCGCTATATTTGTCTGTTTTCCACCAAATGCTTGGACCTAAAGAGACCACATCATATTTTGTATTAATTTTTATGAAAGTTTTAAGTTAAAAGGTTGTAACTTTGCATGTCAATTTTTCGTGCTCTCTCTCTCATGACTTTATCAGTTATTCGTGTAAATAAATTAATGACATATTATATGTGGTATCCTTGGAATTAAGTTTTTTTACACAATTTAAAAAAGACGTGTAAGTTGTTTTTGTTTTTGTTGAAAATTTCATGAAATTAATATTGCATGCAAAATATTCGTGTTCCACACTACATTCTATCCACAAAAAGCATGCTTGTTTTTCACTTTTTTAATTTTAATCGTATTTTTCTTTTCTTTTTTGAGAAATTGATGTTTATAGCAGATACTTGATAGTTTATTCACATTTAGAAATGGTTCCCTCGCAAATTTTACGAACCGAACGCCATCACGAACGCCATCAGGAGTTGGTTGACCGTTATGGGATATCTGTTTCACAGATGACAACGGATGTGTTCCAATTATGGTAACTACAATCCAGTCCCCTTTTCCCCGTACTAACATGGGCAACACGACGGGTGACAATAAATTTGTGGAGTAGGATTTGATTATCCTTCCGCAGCACGTGGGATCACCCCCATTTTTTGGAGGGATTCGTGTTGCTCAGTCTTTAGTTTTCTATGTTGTGTTTTGTGTACTGTTGTTTGTCTGTTTGTCTTTTTCTTTTTTAGCCATGGCGTTGTCAGTTTAGTTTTCGACTTATGAGTTTGAATGTCCCTTTGGTACATTTAGCCTCTCTTTTATACACGGATGACTAAGTGCCTGACATATTGTAAAGACATCTATATGTTGAAGATTGTATGTTGACCACAAGATATCTTTTAGTCAATTATTTTGTTGTTTTGTTGCTGTCGGACCTCTTTTTTATGCAGAAAAGTTATGCTGTTATTTATTTTCTTTTTGGTCTTTATTATTGAGGGGAGTCCTTGTAGCTTGGTTGTTTGTTATTATTATTTTTACTTTTTTACATACCTTCGTATTGGTTAAACCATTATCTTGCAGTTGGTCATGATTAGAATTCGTGTTAAGAACAGCACCATTAACCAAAAGTATAACACACAGAGTGACGAAAGTCTGCAATTTTGCTTCCATAATCTGAAAGAAAAAAAAAACAGATTAGACATAACAAAAAATCCGTTTAAATCTACACTAGTAAAAGCTACATTGATCTATTTCAATTTTTGAATGCAGGTATATTTACTGGTACTGGAAACTGCAATTTTCTAAAACACCAATGAACTTAAACAAATATTTGACAAACTTTTCATGGTAGAGCTAGAACAATCACATACAGTATACACATCTGTACAAATAGAGCGTGAAAAGGGATAATGTTAAACTCCAATTAAACATCCCTCTCACTATCAAACAACTTACTCTTTTTTTTTAATAAATTTTCCTGGTAAAGAACAGACACAACTGTTTACCAGGAGCGCATCCTTTAACTCCAAAAACAAATTGTCAAACAATCAAAATGTTGATAAAATAAGTTTTTGAGTAGCTAGTAAACTTTAATAACAAGTATGAAAATATTTAACAATTTTACACATCAGTGGCTTTGTTATTGGTATTTAAAAAATCACAACAAAGGATTATTATTTAAAACGCTGTATCTCATCTGAGACTGCTACAGACATTATTTTTAGTTTGCATTTCATTAAATGTTTACGCCATGAAAATTAAACAATTATTCATTAAACGTTATTAAAATTGATAAACAAACAAAAACGTCTAAAAATATAAAAAAAATTCCTTATGTACCGAAAACGAAACACAAACATACCACCATAAAATAACTTACCTTTTTAACAAAAGTATCTGAATGATTATTGAAGCTATTGAATTCCAGTTTAAATAGTCCACTTCGTTAATAAAGCTGAAACATTATGAGAGATTCATAATTTTTGGTCATTTCCGAGGTAAATAATTAAGAAAAAAGTCGCACGGTAGTGTTCGTAAAAACTTAATCATTAATTAATGTCGGAAGACATTGTTTAAAGGGATGACACGTTTTTTTACTTTTAGGATATACAAATATAATTTTGGTAAACAAAGTGTATCCTAATGCAATAAAAAGAAATGACATTTGAATAATTTTTCTATGATTTGTATGTATAACGTTTGAATCTAAACACTTACAACTTAGTGATCACTACACCCACTACTGGTTCAAAGCAAAACAGCTGGTAAATTAATACATTTTGTACCATCAACATTAAGCTTCCGCTTTTCTTAGGTGTTTTATAAATTGTTGTTAAATTTTATCGTTTTTCTAGGGAACGAAACAGATACCACTCTCTTTATTTTTAATTCATTAGATAATAAGTGTTTACAGTAGATCTATAATGTTAGCTTAATTGTACCTCATATATATAATAAAGTGAAATCGGTAAACTATCATCATCATATTTTAACGTTCTTTTCCCGTTAATATTATTTCCCCTTAATAGTACAATGAACTACATCTAAAATAGATATGACCCTTTTTAGTTCTAGTTTTCCACTTCTTATTTGTCATATTCCAAAGGAACTTATAGGTCGATCTAAAAAATTGACATTCAACTGTCGTCTGTGACTCCTCTTTAAACAAATCTGATGTAAATTAAACAATGATTGAGAGAAGACTTTGGCTTTTTCTCCAATGACATTAAAACATTAAAGTCAGCGTGTTACGCATTCTTTTATAACAAATCTAGAATTATGTTGAAATTGACTTTGGCCCAAAATCACAATGGAAGTGCATTGCAACAAATCTTTAGAAGGCACCAATACTTAAAGATAAATTAATGCACTACTTGTAAACAATGCAGACAAGTCAAACACATATTGATCGGATACATTGAAATTGATCAAATATTACATTCTACAGATCATATTTTGACTCATCTGCAGAAAGTACCCGGAGTCGATGCCGCTTAAAGAGAAATTCTCCACTTGGTACGGGGAACTTAATCTTACAAGATCATGAAATAAATATGATCAGCCAGCAATGATCAACCAGGGCGATGCCACATAGTATACAATCATTTTCTTGCTGAGTGTATGCTAAGCAGAGTATACAAATTCCTACTTAAAACAAATTGAGATTGATAATATAAGTTAGACCAAAATTTCACTGATATGTTGCTTACTTTGTTAAGTCTCACATAAACGAAGCTTTAAACACAAGTGTACTTAAATATTATAAACAAACAATAAACAATGTCATTTCAAGGTAGAACATTAACGAAACGAAATGTCAGTATATGACGTCCATCTTTGTAAATGACGTAGGTATTTATAAAGTGTCAACAATGTGATGAATGTGTGGTAGATAGGTGTTTTCCCGTAGTTTACATTCTCACAGAAGATCGATTGGTTATATATATATATAGATATATATATCCTTGCTCTTTTAATAAATCCTGTTTATTGATATCAAAGTAAAACTTGCTATTTTTTTTCTGCAATCGATTCTCAATTTTTTACATTAAAAAGGGGAACAAAAAAATGAGCCAAAACAATATAAAGTCAACTACTCAAGGAGTTCCAACGCAGTAATGTTTAATGTTGTAAGCTGAAAATTCATGAAAATGTATGTATGTATAGTAAATGAAGCCTATGCTGAAACATTTGCCCTCCCCGTTGATGATACCGACTTGGTAACCGTCTTTCAGCAGTTATAGCCAATCAAAGTGAAAATGTACCATTTTTGCTGTGATCGATTTCATTTTTTTGTTTAACATACCTCATTTCCACCGGAAATCATACACGAGGGGGGGGGGGGGGGGGGCAAAAGGGTTCCAATAACAGCAAAACAGCAAAACAGCAAAACAGCAAATTGATTTGGCTTATAACTGATAACAAGGAATTGAAAAGGGATAAAAACAGATAAACAGTTAATGAATAATTAAAATCAGTCGGGTCCAGGACAAATCCAGTGTATATCCTATTATAATCCTTTGTTTTGAATTCCATTTTCTATGAACATGTTTTTAGAGTTATATATCTAGAATTGGTTTACTCAATATATGATAATTTTTTTTTGTTATGGAATACTTTTTCAGCATTTATTTTTGTACTTTTAAAGATGCTCACACATGCTTGTAATTTAAATAGTGAGTGTATTCTTAGAAAAAAATCACATAGCTGAGTCTGTGTTCCTTATTATATAAAAAGTGTTTAGGTAAACTGGTCGTATGGAACTAGGACTTAATTGCCATCCTCATCAGGTATCCCTGACCATATGTTTTCCTTTTTGTCGAGTCTGCGACTTTTGTCGCAAAAGCGAGACATAGTGATCACACATTCCGTCCGCGGCGTCGTCGTCAGGGGCATCCACAAATATTCACTCTGTGGTTAATGTTTTTAAAATTTGAATAACTTTCTTACAATATCCTGGATTTCTACCAAACTTGGACAGAAGCTTGTTTATGATTATAAAATTGTATCCAGAAGTAAATTTTGTAAAAAAAAATAATCCTTTTTATCCGTATTTTACTTATAAATGGACTTAGTTTTTCTGCCAGTTTACATTACATTCACTCAGTGGTTAAAGTTTTAAAAATTTTAATAACTTTCTTAAACTATCCTGGATTTGTACCAAACTTGCACCAAAGCTTGTTTATGATTAAAAGCTTGTATCGAGAAGGAAATTTCGTAAAAATTTATTTCTTGTATTTCCATATTTTACTTATAACATGATTGTATAAATAGACTTTAATAAGTTTTACTTTCAGTTAACATTACATACAGTCTGCAGTTAAAGTTTTTAAAACATTTATTATATTCATAAACCATCCTGGATTTTACCAAACTTGGAGAGAAGCTTCTTACAATCAAAAGATAGTATCTAGAGGAAATTTGTATAGCGGAGGGGGCATTAAGTTTTATCCTTGTCCGTCTGCACATACGTCCGTCCGTATGTCCGTACGTCCCAAAGTTGGTTTCCGTTCTTTGACCTCAGTTTGCCTCAACCAAATGTTATGAAACTTATACACAATGCTTATTACCACAAAACACAGATCCAGTTATAATGTTGGTGGTGTCACTGTAACCGTTCTAAAGTTATGCCCTTTACAAACGAAAAAAAATGCTGAATTTTTAGTTTCCGTTCTCTAACTTTAGTTTGCCTCAACCAAATGCAATGAAACTTATACACAATGCTCATTACCACAAAATACAGATCAAGTTTAAATATTGGGGGCGTCACTTTAACCGTTCTAGAGTAAACTTATGCCCCTTCACAAATGGAAAAATTGCTGAATTTTTTTATTTCCGTTCTCTAACTTTAGTTTGCCTAAACCAAATGCTATGAAACTTGTACGCAATGCTTATTACCACAAAATACAGATCAAGTTTGAATTTTGGGGTTGTCACTAAATTTTCTAGAGTTATGCCCCTTTACAAATGGAAAAATTGCTGAATTTTTCGTTTTCGTTCTCCGAGTAAAATTAAGTTTGCATCAACCAAATTTTATGAAACTTATACACAATACGTATTACCACAAAACTCAGATCAAGTACAAATTTGGGTAAGGTCACTTTTACTGTTCTTCAGTTATGTCCCTTTCTAACTGTATATGATATGCAAGCGGGGGCATCATCTGTGTCCCATGGACACATTTCTCATTTATTTGATAACTTTTTACCAATTTTGTCGAGCCTGCGACTAACATCAAAAGTAGGCGAGACACTAGTACTGGGTTCCACGGAATCCTTACGAATTTTTGTAATATTTTAAAAGAATTGTTCGAATTTAATATGCACATACAGGGAAACAAGGATCGTTATCCCTATACGTAAAAATCAAGATAATTCTAAATACATGTTCAAAGAAAATATTTTACTACGTTCTCATTTCTGTTAATTTAAAATGAAAATAAATCATTTAAAACCAAATTATCAAAATAAAAAATATGTTATTTATCATATGAAGCCAATCTGTGAAAAGTATCTGATGTGTATTGAATATTGTTTCAAGCGCCATCTTTTGTGTATATTTGTGATGTATAAATATGCTGTTAGTATGGGTATGCATTTTTATTTTCAGCATTGTACTGCTTTGCTTTTTTATTGTCTGATTGAACATATTACTTAATGAGTATTGATAATAATATTACTGTCTTATCTATGAATGTAAGGGGCATATTTTCGAGCAAGAAAAAAAGATTAGATATTTTTGATTGGGTAAGAGGTAAACATGCATCTATTGTTTGTTTTCAAGAGACCCACAGTAATGAGGATATCGAGAAACTTTGGCAAGATGAATGGGGTAATACATGCATTTTCAGTCACTGCAACAATAAAAGTGCTGGTGTTAGTGTGATGTTTAACAAGGGTCTTGATTTTAAGATTCATGATTCTAAGATAGACCAGAAAGGTCGTTTTATTGTTTTAGACTTATCATTATATGAACAAAGGTTAACCTTTGTCAATGTTTATGGATTTACTACTGATGAACCATCATTGTTTAGTGATATTTTACGCAACATCTCTTGCTATACTAATACTAGTATCTTAATGTGTGGTGACTGGAATGTTGTACAAGATTTTCAAATGGATACTTATAATATTCTGCACAATAGAAATTTGAACTCTCGTAATAAGATTGAAGAAATTTCACAAACTTTTGAACTTTTGGATCCATGGAGAACCTGTCATCCAGATGACAAAAAATTTACATGGCGTCAAACCTCTCCTAGCAAGCAGAGTCGACTAGATTATTTTTTAGTGATTGAAGACTTATTTTCACTTATGAAAAATACAAAAATTACACCTGGATACAAAACCGATCACTCAGCCATTGTTTTCACATTTTCTGCCAGTCTTGATAAAAGGGGTAAGGGATTTTGGAAGTTTAATTTACAGTTGTTGAGAGATACTGAATATGTTGAAAAGGTAAAGATGTGTAGTAAGGATACTGTTTCTGAGTT